TTTTAAGGACAGGTCTGATAAGTATCACTAAGTATAAAATGGAACCGATGAGGAGACGGGAAGATACGAGCTTTGGGCTCTTTCTCGTAAACACAATTAGGTAATCTCTCTCTCTCTCTCTCTCTCTCTCTCTCTCTCTCTCTCTCACACACACACACACACACACACACACACACACACCACACTATATATATATATATATATATATATATATATATATATATATAATATATATATATATATATATATAATATATATTAATAACATTGATCTGTTAACATAGTCTAAAATGGTAGGAAAAGCCCATTAAATAAAACGAATATATATATATATATATATATATATATATATATATATATATATATATATATATATATATATATATATATATATATATATATATATATATATATATATATATATAAAGTACTTATTAATTTTGTGACCTTAACTGGCCACCTTCTCACAGTACAATGACCCTCATTGTACTTTGAAAAGGTGGCCAGTTTTATATATATATATATATATATATATATATATATATATATATATATATATATATATGTGTGTATTACAGACTGAGGTTAGTAAGGGCATACACTCAGGGTAACGATTACATCTGCCAAAACAAGTCCTTCGCAAGAAGGCAACCGTCCTAGCCCTTGGTAGAAAAGGGAGTTCGTGACGTAAAACCGAATCCAATCCATTATATATATATATATATATATATATATATATATATATATATATATATATATATATATATATATATATATATATATATATATATATATATATATATATATATATATATCAAGTACTTATTAATTTCGTGACCTTAACTGGCCACCTTCTCAAAGTACAATGACCCTCATTGTACTTTGAGAAGGTGGTCAGTTAAGGTCAAGAAATAAATAAGTACTTTATATATATATATATATATATATATATATATATATATATATATATATATATATATATATATATATATATATATATATATATATATATGAATAATTTTACCCCGATCGATACTTGAACATAGGACACATAATTACTATGCCAAGGCGCTACAAATTACTCTCTTCACATATGGTAATGTGCTTATTTGATATATATATATATATATATATATATATATATATATATATATATATATATATATATATATATATATATATTGTGTTCCAGTTCTACGTCACGGACTCCCTTATCTACCAAGGGCTAGGACGGTTGCCTTCTTGCGAAGGACTTGTTTTGGCAGATGTAATCCTTACGCTGAGTGCATGCCCTTGCTAACCTCAGACCGTGACGGGGCGCGAACCCTCGACCTGACGCCTCAGAGCCAGAGACGCTACCCACTGAGCCACGGCGACTACTTATATATATATATATATATATATATATATATATATATATATATATATATATATATATATATATATATATATATATATATATATATATTAAACGTGTTTTACGCTTCATAATTCTGAGTTACATCCAAAATCAATTACTTTTAATTTCACCGTTATCGTAATTTAAATGTTTATCTAATCTGATAACGAACACTCAAGCGTGAATGAGATTAATAATATGTCACAGTCATCAATTTTCATCTTAATAACTGTCATCACTTTATCAGCCATACAATGAATAAATTTTTCTTTCTTTCTCTTAATGTTAAAGGTTAAATTATTTTAATTCAAAGAAGAGAATTTTTATATGGAGATGGGACACTGGTCGTAGTAGTGAGTGACCTCTCTCTCCTCTTGATGTGCGCAGAAGGTCAGATACACTCTAAAAAAACAATACACGAATAATAAACCTAAAAAATTCGCTGGCAGATGCTAAAATTCACCCTATTAGAGTAATAAATAGTGCTCTCTCGTTTAACAAAGTCTTTTTAATACACGTAAACCATTATGGAAATATCAGAAACCCTCCCCCCCCCCCATCACGTACACCAAGGAACAGCGACGGACCAGGACGGACGAACTCGCTCAAAAGACTAAGATACTTCGCTCCACTGGACTAACGCACCACACAACTTTTCTTCTCCACTCATCTCATACACACACACACACACACACACACATCCTACCAACCACAAGGTTTTACAACCCCATCAATTATTATTTAACCCTTTCCTTTTGAGAGGGATTCCCACAAAGAGATAGCTGGGTTCAGAGGAAATGTTCAACGGCATAACATAATCATAATCATTTATTGCAAAAATATGGATACTGGCAATTGGCAATCCTTACGTCGACTAAGGGATGAGTAACTACACGTTGCAAAGTAGTTACGTAATAAATTACTACTAGAGGGGGAAGGGGTAAGGGTGAAAAAGAGGCGAGGAGAAGGGAGGTAGGAAGACCGATAGTGTCAGAATGCACTTGAGTGGAATGAAAACCTATGCACTGCCCGCTCCTCTTGCACACAAGTCGAGAAGTCAAACAACAACTCACCTCTATAATGTGACTGACTTTTTCAAGAGAGAGAAAGTGTCATTGCTATACATTCCCTTTATGGTTCAATGGTAATTTCAAGTATCACAAAAAAAAAAAATGGAAGCTTGGTCTACGTACAACAAATGCTGTGCAATGGCATGCGCACGTACATGGATCCACTAACAATATTAAATATATATTTTACACAACGCTCCTCCACATATTTAATCTCAAGAGTATATTCTGTGAGCTTCTCCCATTGAAGTAGAGGTCTCTTGGCCAGAAATTATTTCAACATTGTGTATATATATATATATATATATATATATATATATATATATATATATATATATATATATATATATATATATATATATATATCTATATATGTGAATCATTTTTACCTCGACCGGGACTTGAACCTGGGACTTATTATTACTGAGCCAAGGCGCTACCAACTACACCACTGAAGGTTAAAGGGAAACAAACCTCACAGCTTATATCTGCTATGGCGGGAATGAACGCATTCTATCTGAATGCCACTATGTTCATATTACAGTTTCCCCAACCTCACTTGTGGTTTCATTTTCGCATTTAATTCAATTCCCAATCTCATTCGGGACCAATAATAACCAAATAAGCACAGTATTACCCTGACCAGAACTTGATCCTGGGGCTTATTATTACTAAGCAAAGGCGATACCAAGACTCCACCGAAGATTAAAGGGAAACAAACTTCAAAGCTTATATCTGCTATGGTAGGAATGAACGCATTCTATCTGAATGCCACTATGTTCATATTACAGTTTCCCCAACCTCACTCGTGGTTTCATTTTTGCATTTAATTCAATTCCCAATCTCATTCGGGATCAACAATAAGCAAATAAGAAAATTACATATGTGAAAAAATGAATTATTTTTACTCCAACCAGGACTTGAACCTGGGACGTATTATTACTAAGCAAAGGTGCTAGCAACTACACCACCGAAGTTTAAAGGTAAACAACCCTCAAAGCTTATATCTGCTATGGTAGGAATCAAGGCATTCTATCTGAATGCCACTATGTTCATATTACAGTTTCCCCAACCTCACTCGTGGTTTCATTTTCGCATTTAATTCAATTCCCAATCTCATTCGGGACCAACAATAACCAAATAAGCACATTACATATGTGAAAACATGAATCATTTTTACCCCAACCGGAACTTGAACCTGGGACTTATTATTACTAAGCCAAGGCGCTACCAACTACACCACCAAAGGTTAAAGGTAAACATACCTCACAGCTTATATCTACTATGGTAGGAATGAACTCTTTCTGTCTGAATGCCACTATGTTCATATTACAGTTTCCCCAACCTCAATCGTGGTTTCATTTTCACATTTAATTAAATTCCCAATCTCATTCGGGACCAACAATAACCAAATAAGCACATGTGTGAAAACATGAATCATTTTTACCCCGACCAGAACCTGAACCTGGGACTTATTATTACTAAGCCAAGGCGCTACCAACTACACTGCTGAAAGTTATAGGGAAACAAACATCACAGCTTATATCTGCTATGGTAGGAATGAACGCATTCTATCTGAATGCCACTATGTTCATATTACAGTTTCCCCAACCTCACTCGTGGTGTCATTTTCGCATTTAATTAAATTCCCAATCTCATACGGGACCAACAATAACCAAATAAGCACATTACATATGTAAAAACATGACTCATTTTTACCCCGACCGGGAATTGAATCTGGGACTTATTATTACTAAGCTAAGGCGCTACCAACTACACCACCGAAAGTTAAAGGGAAACAAACCTCAAAGCTTATATCTGCTATGGTAGGAATGAACGCATTCTATCTGAATGCCACTATGTTCATATTACAGTTTCCCCAACCTCACTCGTGGTTTCATTTTCGCATTTAATTCAATTCCCAATCTCATTCGGGACCAACAATAACCAAATAAGCACATTACATATGTGAAAACATGAATCATTTTTACCCCAACCGGAACTTGAACCTGGGACTTATTATTACTAAGCCAAGGCGCTACCAACTACACCACCGAAGTTTAAAGGTAAACAAACCTCAAAGCTTATATCTTCTATGGTAGGAATGAACGCATTCTATCTGAATGCCACTATGTTCATATTACAGTTTCCCCAACCACACTCGTGGTTTCATTTTTGCATTTAATTCAATTCCCAATCTCATTCAGGACCAACAATAACTAAATAAGCACATTACATATGTGAAAACATGAATCATTTTTACCCCGACCAGGACTTGAACCTGGGACTTATTATTACTAAGCCAAGGCGCTACCAAATACACCACCGAAAGTTAAAGGGAAACAAACCTCACAGCTTATATCTGCTATGGTAGGAATAAATGCATTCTATCTGAATGCCACTATGTTCATATTACAGTTTCCCCAACCTCATATGTGGTTTCATTTTTGCATTTAATTCAATTCCCAATCTCATTCGGGATCAACAATAAGCAAATAAGCACATTACATATATGAAAACATGAATTATTTTTACCCCGACCAGGACTTGAACCTGGGACTTATTATTACTAAGCAAAGGTGCTACCAACTATACCACTGAAGGTTAAGGGAAACACACCTCACAGCTATATATCTGCTATGATAGGCATGAACGCATTCTATCTGAATGCCACTATGTTCATATTACAGTTTCCCCAACGTCACCCATGGTGTCATTTTCGCATTTAATTCAATTCCCAATCTCATTCGGGACCAACAATAACCAAATAAGCACATTACATATGTGAAAACATGAATCATTTTTACCCCGACTGGGACTTGAACCTGGGACTTATTATTACTAAGCCAAGGCGCTACCAACTACACCACCGAAGGTTAAAGGTAAACATACCTCACAGCTTATATCTACTATGGTAGGAATGAACTCTTTCTGTCAGAATGCCACTATGTTCATATTACAGTTTCCCCAACCTCAATCGTGGTTTCATTTTCGCATTTAATTCAATTCCCAATCTCATTCGGGACCAACAATAACCAAATAAGTACATGTGTGAAAACATGAATCATTTTTACCCCGACCGGAACCTGAACCTGGGACTTATTATTACTAAGCCAAGGCGCTACCAACTACACTGCTGAAAGTTAAAGGGAAACAAACATCACAGCTTATATCTGCTATGGTAGGAATGAACGCATTCTATCTGAATGCCACTATGTTCATATTACAGTTTCCCCAACCTCACTCGTGGTGTCATTTTCGCATTTAATTAAATTCCCAATCTCATACGGGACCAACAATAACCAAATAAGCACATTACATATGTAAAAACATGACTCATTTTTACCCCGACCGGGAACTGAACCTGGGACTTATTATTACTAAGCTAAGGCGCTACCAACTACACCACCGAAAGTTAAAGGGAAACAAACCTCACAGCTTATATCTGCTATGGTAGGAATGAACGCTTTCTGTCTGAATGCCTATATGTTCATATTACAATTTCCCCAACCTCACTCGTGGTCTCATTTTCGCATTTAATTCAATTCCCAATCTCATTCGGGACCAACAATAACCAAATAATCACATTACATATGTGAAAACATGAATCATTTTTACCCCGACTGAGACTTGAACCTGGGACTTATTATTACTAAGCCAAGGCGTTACCAACTACACCACGGAAGGTTAAAGGTAAACAAACCTCAAAGCTTATATCTGCTATGGTAGGAATGAACGCATCCTATCTAAATACCAATATGTTCATATTACAGTTTCCCCAACCTCACTCGTGGTTTCATTTTCGCATTTAATTAAATTCCCAATCTCATTCGGACCAACAATAACCAAATAAGCACATTACATATGTGAAAACATGAATCATTTTTACCCCGACCGGGACTTGAACCTGAGACTTATTATTAATAAGCCAAGGCGCTACAAACTACACCACCGAAAGTTAAAGGGAAACAAACCTCACAGCTTATATCTGCTATAGTAGGTGTGGAGGATTTCCTGTGTGTTATTACCCTTCGATCTTATAACCCCCTAAATTCGGAAATCCTGACACGGCTTCAGTAGAGGCCTACCACGATCTCAAAGTTAAATCCTCTACCAATAAAATATAATTAATATTACATGCATAGACATACATGTAAATATTTTATAAGGGGGTTTATGAACTGCTGATATGTGAATATTTAAATAAACTCTCCTCACCTTAAATTAAAATTTCCTCATACAGAATAATAAAATTTCCAACATACATTCTACCTACGAGTGTTCAATTAAATGAGCTCATTCTGTCCCTCACACGTAGTTATAAATATTGTTAGAAATAAGGTAAATCTGCATTGCATATGTACTCATCTATCCGGATAACCCTGATGTCGTCAGTAATCACGGGACTCCCATTCAAACTCATAGAATATCTTCTGACCCACGTATCTCTATCACATTTTTTACTTGAGAGTCTCGTAATGCCCCACGAGAACAACAAACTTTTTGTGGGCGTATATGCACCATCAATAATCACGGTAGCAAATGTATTTCATAAATCTCAGCTACGACCGATTTTACACATCCTAAACATGAGTGTCTCGTAGCATCTCACGAGGACAACTAACAATAAACTTATAAGTACTGTCAATAAACACAGTAAAAATGAGTGCCTTGTAGCATCTCACGACAGCAACTAACTTTTTGTAAGAAAGTCTTACAAAACTCCCTTCGTTTGTTGGGGTCCTTGGTTACAACGATTCTTTGTTTAAACAGGCGTTGCAATAAGCGTTATCAAGGAGGTGAAGGGTTAATGGCTAAAATCCATTAGTGACCTACATTCCTTTCTCCAAGTCTTCTACAGCCAGCCTTTATAATAAACTACACATTATACATACGACTATACGTGTATACATGATAGAAATTAATAAGTACACATACTAAGTTTAAAAGTATCCATTCATGCAATTACATTACAATAAACGAAACTATATGCAAAACAACACTTACATAATGTACGTAGAAATAAACTGTCTTGAAATATATTAAAGACGTCCTGGGCCCCTCCAAAAAAGGAAAAATGGGGGGGGTCTCCCCTTTCAGTACTACAATTTATCATCTATGATTGTGCCCACAATTCTTCAACCCTTTGGGCAGCTTGACATTCAGATCTTTCATAATTTGATGATTCCTCTTTATATTCCTCTGACAACAGATATTCCCATGAGTGCTTTTCAGACCAAGCTCTCTGAAGAAGAATTTTTCCTCTTCTTAGCAAGGGTGAAATTAGACCTAAGGGGTCAATAACTATACTCATCAGTGACAGAAGTTTCTGTTTTGTCAACACTTCTTCTCTAGCCTACAGACTTTTCAAAGACAACTTGTCTGTATTAACATTCCAGATTAAACTAAAGCTTGTTTCTTTAGGAGATCTAGATTTTTCAAAAAGGCACTGCTCCAGTACCCTTTGAAGTCTTGTATTGTTGGAATTCAATGCTTGCAGTGATATTTTGGCCTTTTCCCACTCTACATCTGCAGTATTGCATATATCAAACTGTTTCTCTTCAATGGTACAAGCATCCAACAAATTACCCACATGAACATTCTCCAATATTTCCTCCAACTGTTCTGTTAGAGACTTCATTTGTCCAAAGGCACTCTGAAAATTGTGTGGGAGAGGAGTGCAGATAGGCTTCCAGGGAACAGAATCTGTAACTCTTCCAAGTGTAGTTTTATCTTCGTAATGCACTTCTTGCTTTACTTCAATACTCTCTGGCTTCTACAACTTATTAACAGGCTCTATGGCCTCTTCAATTAACAACTTATTAACAAGCACTATGGCCTCTTCAATCAACGACTTATTAACTGGCTCTATGGCCACTTCAATCAACTCTTGAGTAGCTGTAGGAAAAACCTGTGTTCCTACTCGCATAACAATATGCCTCTGCACATTACTGGGTTCATGTTGAGTATCACAAGGAATACGGCCATACAACATACACCACCCGGTGTTTCCATCGAAGTATAGACATCCCACTTGTTAATACCACTAACAAACTGACTAAAATGTAAGGCACCAATAACAATGCCAATGTTCTCAAGTACATCACTATCAATATCTTCATCGGCCAACTTGTGACCATTAGACTTTAACACATTTGCAGCCTTTGCTAGTCCTGGAGTGTAGATGCTAATTACCATGTCATCAACTACGAGTAATTTAACTCTGGCTCTTCTTTTCCCCAATTTGATAACTACATTTACAACAGGAAAACTTCCTTTCTTCGTCTCAGAACGAAATGCATCAATACCAAGAGACATTTCCTCTACTGGGCTTAATTTAAGCCTTTTAGCTAATTCCCTAGTTATAAAAGAACACTGGGAACCTGTATCAAAGAATAACCTAGTATTTACCCAAAGATTTCCCTTTGAGCTGCTTATTTTTCCACTTGCAGTAGGCAGAGCACATGAAGGTAAACTCGGCTTCACCATTTGCCTTTGTACTGCCTTCATAGTCATCACACCAACATGTTTCTTGTCCTTTTCTTTGTCAGAATGTTCTTGCTAATTGCTTGACTCATCTAAATTTGAACCATTTCCTGACTGTTCATTCAGAAATGTAGGTTCTTCAAACCTTCTACGAAATTTTGACTCTTGCTCATAACACAAGGCTGCAAGATGACCATTTTTCTTACATTTCTTACAGTTTAGCTGAGTGTAACATTCATTTGCATAATGCCCTGACTGAGTACATCTCAGACATTTGTTACTACCTCTCAATTTGTTTCTGTGTTCATTTATGCTTACTACTTTATTGCACTGTTCAGACTTATGACCTTGCCAACCACAAAACGCACATTACGATTTACTATTTTCTTTGTTTGCAACAACACCATAACTACCTACATTCTTTTTATAGGACTGGGTCTCATCTCTCTGGGAGGTTTGGGTCTCTCCCTTTGTGTTATCTTTAGTGAAGTTGCCTTCTATATAATATACATATTTTCCCAGTTCCTTCAAGAGGGTTTCATATGTAGGATATTTTGTGTCTATTTTCATGTTAATCCAGTTCTCCATCTTCTGGCAATTTCATCATCACGAGTTCTGAAAACACCCAATCAGTGTTCTCCACGTCTTTATAATTTTTCAGACTTCGAGTAATGGCTTCTACTTCCTGCTTGAACTTAAAAAGTGATGAATAATTACAAGAGGGAGTTGGTATTTTTACCAATTTCCTCATTAAATTTCGTACAATTCTGTCCTTGCTGGCATAAACAGCTTGTAGCTGTTGAATGCATTCATCATAACTCTCACTAGCAACAGGATATCCCTTTATGGTGTCTTTTGCATCTCCTTTAAGGGCACTTCTTAAGATGGTAAACTTTGTCATAGTTGCCATAGAAGTACTATGTACTAAACTATCAAACGTATCCCAAAACTCGTTCCATTCATCATAGTTTCCAGAGAACTGTGGTCATTTTACTTCAGGAAATTTAGGTGTGGGTTGCCCACTGGGGAGGCTTGAACTCTCGGAACTAGGAGCTCGAGTACTCTTCATAGTTCCTAACTTACGAATCCGTTCTAGGACAGCTAAGCTAATATTATTTA